TACTTGGTGCAGGGATAGGTAAATATTAGTTGTTTATATTTAAGTCTGTATGAAAATCCATGATTTAGGGATATATAAATATGGGTGGTTTATTTTTGAGTCTCTATGAATTTACTTGATTGAGGGTGGGTAATTATTGGTCATTTATATTCATATGGTTCAGGGATAGGTAAATATTTTGGCATATATTTCAGTCTGTACGCATTTACATGGTTCAGTGAGCGATAAATAGTGATCGATCATATTGGAGTCTGTAGGCATATATTTGCTTCAGGCTTAGGTATATGTTGGACTTTTATATTTGAGTTTCTATGCATTTAGATGATTCGTGGGTAAGTAAATATTGATCGCTTATATTTGAGATTGTATGCATTGACTTGGTTTTGAGATAAGTAAATATTGATCATTTATATTTGAGTTTGTATCCATTTACTTGTTTCAGGGATAGGTAAATATTGATCAATTATATTTGAGCCTGTATGCATTTAGCAACAGCAGCTTGAGCCTCGTCATGCATAAATGGATCTTTCCACTTGAATGCCAATGTATTCTTCTTCTTACGCAATAAACCTTAAGTCGATATCAACAGAAAAGTTAATTCTGACGACATTTGAATTTCTCCAGCGATCAAACAAATCATTGCTATGTCTATATTTCTAAGATGAGGTATTATGTACACTATTTACATTATTCAGACTATTGTCCGCATCCTTGTTGCCATATTTATTACAACGTTTCGGCCTTTGTACACTCCGGCCTTCTTCAGGTGGTTGGAATGTCGAACTGAACGCTTTATTTCGCTCACTGGGGTAGACTGTTCTAGTTCCACGGGCCATGTCTAATGGATGTCAGTTTTCTGTTATCTCCTGTTAATTACCCTTTCAAAGTTCTCCACCGCCTTAAACAGGTATTGAACTTACACTCTTTGGGTCCTGTCACTGGATCTAACCAACGCCTTTATCCAGTGTACCATGTGTCCTTGAATAATGCCATGTGTCCTGGTTAGATGAGGACAATAGTCCGAATAATGTAAATAGTGTAAATCAGTACTAATTCTTTACTCACTACATATATCCTTTCGTCTACACAGGGATGTTTATCTTGTTTTAATAAATATTGTTTCAAGTACTTTCAGATAGTAACTAAAATGCGATCTCTACAAGACAGGAAACATGTTCATACTGAAGGATGGCGTGCAAACTCGATTGTTCTATAAGATGTTCAGCAATTGTAGACCCAGAAATATCGACACGCCAATGAAAATCATCTAGTCAACTAGTTCAGTTGTTGGATGCCCTGTTTCCACTAAGTCTAAATACATACTGCATTCGATGAATTACTATGTCTCAATTGAATTACGATGTCACCAAATTCATGAAAAAATGTTTAATCTATTAGGCTATTGACAATCCTGAGACTAGAACTTGGAGCATTAAACCTACTCTGCCTAACATTGATATTGCTACTGCTGCTTGTCACGCTTGACAGCATTCGCCAAGATTTAGCTTGTCTTACTGTTGTTGTTGCTGCTGCTGAAATAATATTCCTCAACATGGGCAGCAGTATGAAAATCACCTACACCGGTAGATTAAATAAAAAATTCAGTTCAAAATTCTTTGATGGTTTCCCTGGTCAACAAACACCTGACTGTTGTATTATCTGCATTGTGTATTTTATATTATCTGCATTGTGTATTTTATATTATCTGCATTGTGTATGTTATATTATCTGCATTGTGTATTTTATATTATCTGGTTTGTGTATTTTATATTATCTGGTTTGTGTATTATTTTGTGTATTTTATTATCTGCATTGTGTATGTTATTGTGTATTTTATATTATCTGCATTGTGTATGTTATATTATCTGCATTGTGTATTTCATATTATCTGCATTGCATATGTTATATTATCTGCATTGTGTATGTTATATTATCTGCATTGTGTATTTTATATTATCTGCATTGTGTATGTTATATTATCTGCATTGTGTATTTTATATTATCTGCATTGTGTATGTTATATTATCTGCATTGTGTATTTTATATTATCTGCATTGCATATGTTATATTATCTGCATTGTGTATTTTATATTATCTGCATTGTGTATTTTATATTATCTGCATTGTGTATGTTATATTATCTGCATTGCATATGTTATATTTCTGGTTTGTGTATATTTATCTGCATTGTGCATGTTATTATCTGCATTGTGTATTTTATATTATCTGCATTGTGTATCTGTTGTGTATTTTATATAATGCACATTTTATATATTATTTTGTCTTTTCTGCATTGTTTATATTATTTATTCATATTTATATTATCTGCATTTGGGATTTTTTTTATATTATCTGTATTGTGTATGTTATAATCTGTATTTTATATAATGCACATATTTGTCTTTTCCTTGTTTACAATTTATTCATTTTTAGATAAGTTCTCATTGTTTATTTAATAATTCCTGCTGCTCTGGGGAAGATGATTATTGCTATTTTCTCCTCCAAACAAAGTTTACAATCATTTAACAGACCGACCAAAACGTTGTAATAACAACAACAAACTATCGTCTGAATGTAAATCATGCAAACAATGTCTTTTTTATGTTCCATATATATATATATATATATATATATATATATATATATATATATATTATATATATTGCAATTCTCTTTCAAAGGGTTACTTTCGATTGTTTAGAATTTCGCGAAATGTCCTGAACTTTTTTTGCAGATGTCTTGACCTTTTTAGACATACCGATATTTTCCCAGGTTTTCACTGTTTCTAAATTTTACTCAGTATTGGCCTCGGACAGTGTCATTGTCTTCTTTCAGGACGTGGGAGATTATGGCCTTCCACAACTTCTTGTCTATCTTTGCCCTAGATACCTTTTGTACCTTTTCGATCCCTATGTGCCCTTGTCCTCTCCGCCAGTCTCACACACCTGTAATGTATGTTACTCGCTGTTTACTGTTGTTTCTCTTGCCCTCACGATATGCAATGAGTGTGAAATTCTCTAGATTTATCGAGGCTTTTATAGGGATGCTATGCGTGGCGCTAATCTCGTTCAGAACTATCTATATTTTTAGTTTTATACAAGCCACTTAGCTCAATGATTAAAAATAACTACGTGTGAAAGAAACTGGCAGATCTTAGCGATTATAGATGTTCTTTCTTTGAATCTTGTCGACTGGCGCTACAGAATCACAAATAAAGAACTGTACCAAATGACAGAAACTGCATCACTTGAAGACTTTCAACGTTTGCCATAACTAAAACGGATATCACACGTAACTCAACAAGAAAATAATGATATAATCAAGATTTTGATGTTCCTAACGAAAGGTTAGGAAAGAAAACCCCTTAAGTAACAATAGTGGACTTAAGAAACCTATTTTCCTGGAAAATTGTTATAATAGAATGATTTTATAAATTTCAGCCGAGAGTAGCACTGGCTGCTCAGTCAATGAATGTTCGATGTTTCCTTATGAGAAAACGGTTAATATTACAATTACTATTGAAGATTAGGAGGACATATTCCAGCCCGAAGGTCAAAGAATGAAGAAAAGTGGGTTAATTTGCAGTACAAGCACCAAAAGCCTACGATAATGAAAATGTTCCATTATGTTGTGAAATTGCCTGATTATTTCGAAAATGCAATAAAATTTTGCGCTCCATTACCGTTTAGGATTTATTGACAATGTAAGTTCGATCTCTTTCGCGTTCTCCGACTGTCATTACTGGCGTTATTTACATGCGTTTATCTCGAGTAGTAAAGCGCGGAAGATTACTTAGTTAACGGCCTTTTTACTGCTTTTCGTATCTTCTTACTCGTTTTGATTACTGCGCAGTTTTTGCGAAAGTATTTCAAAATGCACCTTCTTTAAAAAAAAAAATGAATGGATTTTTAATTGGTATAAATTCCTTTTTTTCCAATTAAAAGTATTGTATCTTTGTAGACGTGAAGCTTTATTAAATGATGAATTCTTTTTTTTATTATTAAATTAGTTTAAATTTGTTATAGAAAAAATTGAAAGCTTTTCTAAATAAATAATGTCATGAGTGAACACACCCCACCAAACAAAAAGCGTTGCAAAAAGGAAGCCTTTTGGTGTTTATACTGCAAATTAATTGTAAAAGGTAACTAGAATAAAACTAGCTTCTCATTCAATGAATACAGAATATTTCGTTATAAAGCACATATACATGAAGTGAAGTGACTATATTGAATCAATTGCTGCATCTACTGCAAGTGAAATTGGTTCAATGTGACGTGCAAGAAGTTTTTTATCGTCAGAAACAGTCATGCACATTTACAAATCTATCATTCGGCCGTGCACTGAATATGGTTGCCATATCTGGTCTGGTGTTCCTACTGTATACCTCGACATTCTTGGCAAAGTCCATAGAAGGATCTATAATATAATCGATCCAGACAAGAATTTGTCTTTTCTTAATATTTTTCATGGCAACTGCTCTAATGAGTTTTCCCCCACCTGGTGCCCGAGTTTAGCGTTTTACTAGATTGGCAATTAGGTCACATCGTTTTACTCTGGAACTAGCAAGATGCAATCGCTACTTCTGTTCTCAAATTTTCTTTATAGATACTTCTCACCTGTAGAATACCCTTCCGTTTTCTTACTTCCCTGATAATTACAATCTTCAAAAATTTAAATGCAATGTCAATCGCCATCTTCTATCTTCTTGAACTCATCTTGTCATTTACTTTCACTTTCACTCCCTGCAGGGCCATCCTTGAGTTCTATTCGTATTATCACTTTGCTTGAGGGTGAGATGATTAATAAGAAAAATTAAATAAAAGGAGAGAAATATTTTTTTACAAAAAAGTGTATTCATCAAGATAATGTATAATATTATCTCGGTTAAAAAAAGGAAAACTTTTTCACAGTGAGAGTAACGTGACTGGAAAGTTATGATTGGTAAAAAATGATACGTTGACAAAAGCAACAAAGGTAGAGTGAGAAAGAAAGGGAGATATTTAAAGAAGAGAGGGGGTAAAAAGAGTGAAACAACGTGTGAGGGATACAGAGAGAAAAGCGCTGGTGAGTGAGAGACAATGAGAAGGAAGTAAACGATGAGAGAAAAGTGAATGAAATGAAGAGTGAAAGATAGAGAGAGAGCGAAAGTACGATATATAAAGAGAACGAAAAAAAGGGTGTCTGAGAAAGAGAGAGAGAAAGAAAGAAAGTGTGAGATATAAAGAAAAAGAAAGAAAGGATGAGAAATAAAGAGATAAATAATGCGCGAATGATAAAGGGAGAGAAAGGACAGATAAATACAATCTTCAAAAATGCAACGTCTATCGTCATCTTCTCCCCGCTTGAACTTCATTTTTGTCCTTTTCTCAATCATTACCCATTTTCACTCTTCTAAATCCCTTAGACTTTCATCTCTGTAACACCCAGCGTTCTTGTGGAATTATCGCCTTGCCTGAGGTGAAATTATTTAAAAAAAAAAAAAAAAAAGAAGGCTAATACTAGCAAATCATTAAATATGAAGTGAACAGATTCCAGCCTGATGGACAGAGTGTGATGAAAATGTTAACTCAAGTATCTGACTGCTCAGTCAATGAATGCAGAATGTTTCTTTATAAGGAAGCTGCTAATATTACCATTACCATCTCTATAAATAGTTGTCATTTTTTAGAATGTACTACGTATTTCAAACTTCTTTATTTTCCTTAGTGCATCGCCAATATAAATTTTCCATTTATATATAGTTCACTATGACGTGCTAAACAGTTTTTCTCTTCAGAATCTATCTTACATATTTATAACTCTACAATTTGTCCTTGCTTTGAGTATTGCTTTCACGTCTGGTTTGGGTTTTCCTGCTATACATTTAAGGATAATTGATAAAAATCCAAGAAGAATCTCCAAGGTTATTGAAATGGAATCGAAATGGAAATTTATACTTATTAGGAGAAATAAGAAAAAGACAATATTTATTAAGAGTTGCGAAGAAGAATATTTAAGACCGTAGATTCGCCTCATAGACTTTCTTTGAATTCTTCCTTGTTTTAACTTCTTTCAGCTATTTCTAAATCTAAAGTCTTTTTTCCTCTGGCTCTTTTCAACTTTCTTCCTGTTTTTTTTTTTTTTTGAGGGGGGGGTCGGATAGAAATTCTTTGCGTTTTTCCATGAGTTGTTGAGAATTTTCCACATTAATCAAGTATGTTATAAGCTGAAATTAAATACAATTGTTACTTTTAGGGTATCGTTAAAGATCGGGGCCAACTCTCCTTTTATTATCCACTAGGCGGTTATTACTTCTATCATACCTTTATGTAATAACTCGGATGGTCTTTCTTATAGGAATATGGATCTCTTCAGCTAAAGACTATCGTTTCCATACGAAGCTGCCGCTTTCCATTCAGTAATCTATTTCTGTGTACAGACAAACCTCTCATCAACGGACAAATAGGGGAGGGTGGTCCGTTAAAGCCGATTGTCCGTAGATAGGACGGGATTATTTTTGAGTTATGAAACCACTATAGTCAATAACAGTAGTTATGATTGTAAGGTAAATACTATAAACAGGTATATATGGCATAAATAAATATATACTATACTGTATATGTACTGTACAAATAATAGATTTCTCCCGACTACTTTCTCACGCACGCATTAATGTATCGTACTTTATATACTGTACACCCGTCTTTGTTTACAATTGAAATGGCCAGCTACCGCCGTCAAGCGGTTACTTTAAGAACTAATACGACCCATTCCGCTAAGCTTTCAAATTTTGAAATACATCTCTAAAGATTTGGAAGTTTTTTCCTGCAGATCTTTTTTTTTTTTTATTTTGCCAGCAGATTTTGTCTGTTGCATCCGAAGTCGGTTGACGGTGGCTCCGTAGATGCGATATTTGTCTGTATATATATTTATATTTGCTAGATGAGTTGAACTTGTGCTTTTTATCAAACTATTTCTTTAACTTGCTGTCTGAATAGTTTTTTAAACGGTATCACTCCATTCCATACAAGACAGTAAAGCCGCTAAGACACTAGAGGTTACAGAGTGTGGAAGAATTAGGAAGAGAAATGTTAATAATGAGCTGGAAGAGGAAAGAGTAAAAGTAGAGAGCGATTGACACTGCATTTAAATTTTTACAGGTCAAATTTGGCTGGTAAAAATAGAGCCGGAAGTGAGTTCTACAAGCGAGAAGTGCGAGAAAAGAAACTGTTAGAATAGAATTTACGGATACATCTAGTCAGCTCAACTGTAAATTGGTGAGACCTAGTCGCCAGTCGAGTACTGCGCTTAAATTTATTATGTCTAGGTACGATAGAGAAGAACGGTATTTATTTCCGCTTATTTAGAGAAATGCGACACAAGGCCAAAATGGGTAATGGGGAAAAAGGATTCTCTTCTCCTGTTTAAGCATTAAACTTAGCTAGCCACAATCACTGACCCAAACATACCACAATATTCCTTACAACAAAGCAACCCATTCTTACTTACTATTCTTACAACATACACCATAATACCTCAATGTCTCTATGAAAATCCTAACTAGTCCCCATATGTACAATTCATATCTATACCATAGAGAAGAACTTTCAGGAACAATTACTACGAAGGCATTTATAGAAAAAACACAGAGAGGCAACTTCACGGCAGTGGGAAGCTGACTGAAGCCGAGCCAACAAATCAAGACAAATATTAATGCTGATTCTTTTTTGGATTTTATCAATGAGCTCAAGATAAACAGCGGGACCTTTTTATCCGTTATTTTATTTTTTAAATTATTATAAAACAGAAAAAACTATACAGATATAGATATCTAAATTAGAATCGCTTCTCCACGACGTTCTTAATATTTTGATAGTATTAATTTCAATTCTTCCTGAAAGTATATTAAACTTAAACGGAAGCAGTTATGTCTGTACGCATCGATTCTTCCAGTAGCAGAATAAAGTCCGTACCAACGATAGAAATAAATTATTTAATTATGCAATTATATGATAAATTTATAACAATTTAACCAGTCACTTATATATATAGACACGTACCAAAAATCACGCCGTCCTGGGTAAGACGATAAACAACATTTAACAGCAAGTCTTCTGATAAGGAGGTTTTGAGGAGCGAGGAGATATGGTCCATTGGATAAAGGTGATGGTTAGATCCAGTGACTAGACCCAAAGAGTTGTGAGTTCAATACAAGCCCACAGCAGTGGTGAACCAAAAGACTTGGAGAGTTGAGTTAAAAGGAAATAACTGAGACATTCGGAAGAGGTTTGGCACGTGGAACTAGAACAATCTACCCCGGTGGACGAAATAAAGGGTTCGGTTCGAAATTCCAATCACCTGAAGAAGACCGGAGCGTACAACGTGCAAAACGTTGTGAATATGGCAATGAAGATGAGGATAGAAGTTATAATAATTTAAATAACGTATATAATCATAATACCTCATCTCAGAGATATAGACAGATATTGTAATAGAAGAATTTAAATTGATTTCACAATCTCTGAAGATATGTGGAGACCGTTTCAAGAGAAAAGATTCTACACAACAGAAATTGAAACGAAGGCCACGAATATTTGAGAAGTAAAAATTTAGGGGTGGGGGTAACTTTTTTTTTGTTTACTGATTTACATGTATTTCTTTTCATTGTATCTGTCATGAGAAGATTTTTGTTTTAAGAAGAAAAATACCGAAATAATTATCATTATCTATGGTCTATGGCAATACCAACTGGCCAGAAGTTGGCCAATACAAAAGCATAATGTGACCTCAGGTTTGCCAACCTGATTTCCAAGCAGGAACACCTATCCACTTGCGACATGGCACTCTACATATCCCGATATTATGTGACTGTTGACCAGAGCAGACTCTTTAAACGCTGCCAAGGAGATCGGATTCTTTACTATCAGTTGAAAGCAACAACCAGAAATCTTTCAACCCGTTGCCCTCATAATAAAAAAAAACCCGCAAGCACTGATCAGACAGCTTACCACAAAGTTAAGATAATTATGGCCCTGGGAGAATTTTTTTCTGTTACAGAATGAAAATCGAAGCAAGTAAGAATTAATTGATAGCGATAGAAGAATTTAAATTAGTTTCGCAAAGTGCGTGAAAATATCGGGAGAACTTCAGAACAAATGATTATACATCACAGAAATTGAAACGAATGTCACGAATATTTGAGAATTGCAGATGATTTTTTGTTTACTGATTTACATGTATTTCTTTTCATTGTATCTGTCATAAGAAGACGTTTGTTTCAAGAAGATAAAGGCCGAAATAATTATCACTATCTATGGTCTATGGCAATACCAACTGGCCAGAAGTTGGCTAAGACTAAAGCATAATGTGACCTCAGGTTTGCCAACCTGATTTCCAAGCAGGAACACCTATCCACTTGCGACATGGCACTCAACATATCCCGATATTATGTGCCTGTTGACCAGAGCAGACTCTCTAAACGCTACCAATGAGATCGGGTTCTTTACTACCAGTTGAAAGCAGCAACCAGAAAGAGTGCAACCCTTTGCCTTAATAATGAAAAGCCCCAGCCACTGATCAGATAATCACAAAGTTAAGACAGACAACGATAATTGGCTCTGATCTGGCATCTCGTCTGCAGTCACTCTCTCACAGACGTGCCGTCGCCTCCCTCTGTCCTTTTTACAAATACTTTCATGGTAACTGCACCGAGGAGCTGCTTTCTGTGGTTCCTAAACTTCATGAATTTAAGCGTTCTACTAGGCTGGCATCTCGCGCACATCCTTTCACTGTCGAAACTGTTAAATGTAGCTGTCTCTTCTACTCCAATAGCTTCATGTCTCGCACCTCTCGCCTGTGGAACTCCCTTCCATCTTCTTGTTTCCCTGGTAGCTATAATTTCCAACTATTCAAATGTAATGTCAATCGATGTCTTCAAATGCCTTGATCTATCCCCTATCCTTCTCTTCATCCTTTCCTCTATCACTTCTATTTGCTCTCACTCCAACTTTCTGTAACACCTTGCTTGGAGTGAAACGCTTAAAAAAAAGTCTAATCATTATGGCTCTGGGAATTTTTTTTTCTGTTACAGAATGAAAATGAAAGCAAGTAAAAATTAATTGGTAGCGATAGAAGAATTTAAATTAGTTTCGCAAAGTGCGTGAAAATATCGGGAGAACTTCAGAACAAATGATTATACATCACAGAAATTGAAACGAATGTCACGAATATTTGAGAATTGCAGATGATTTTTTGTTTACTGGTTTAGATGTATTTCTTTTCATTGTGTCTGTCATAAGAAGACGTTTGTTTCAAGAAGATAAAGGCCGAAATAATTATCACTATCTATGGTCTATGGCAATACCAACTGGCCAGAAGATGGCTAAGACTAAAGCATAATGTGACCTCAGTGACCTATCCACATAGACATGGCACTGCAAATATCATGCAACTGTTGACCAGAGCAGTCTCTCTAAGCGCTACCAAATAATTCGTGCGCCTCACTACCAGCTCAGAAGCAGCAACTAGAAAACTGTCAAGCCGATACCCGCATAGTCGCAGCCACTGATCAGTTAAAATCATCAAAAATTAAGGCAGTTAAACCATTATGGTCACGGAATAGATAACCGGTAAACCATATCCTAAACAAGAAAGTATGGATAAACCTCTACTCCTGTTCAATAAATATAGAAAGAATACTGGCCGGGCGATAGGCTAATTTAACTACTCCTATTAAAATATCTTTCACACTGTTATCTCCTGAATTTTGACACGTCAATGTAGAAAGCTTAAAAATTGGTGATGATACCAATGTTTAGTTCCTGGCTTCTTTTGTTAGCTGTTTAGTTATTTTACAGTTTTAGATGGACTATTGTCAAGTTAACGTCCTTAGATATTGCATTAGCCATGCATGGATAGTTAACCTTTTTATTTTCCTTCACTTGTGCCTCGAATAACATATGACTGAAAGTTCAATGGTGATTACTTAATTAAATGTCAAGCGAAAAGGCAGATGTCTATCAAAATAGGACAGCGTCAAGTAGAATTTCTTTATACCTCACAAGCTTAAAGCCTAATATGACGTTTTCTTTGAGAGATTACGACTTCAGTCCTTTCTTTCTCCAGCTGATAAATAACAACAAAAGAAATCAATATTTTTTCCTTTCTTTTCAATGACTTGTCTCAGATTACATTTTACTTCATAGGACATTGCAGACTAAAATGGCCACCTGTTTAAAAGGCGACAGGACGCATACAAATCCCGATACTAATTATTTTCGGCGGGACACACTTTTGTTCTTTGAATATTTAATGACAACGTGCTGATTCGCTAGACAACATCTAATCTCCTGACTGAATTTCTGGGATAAGGATTTATCACTACTTACATTACTTATAAGCGGACTGTTGTCCTCATCTTTGTTGTTGTTATCTTACTACATTCACCATAATACCTCATTGTCTCTATGAAAAAACTAAATAGTCCCCATATCTACAATTCTTTGTCTGTGGGGAAGGAATAAAAAAAAACAACAGATCAAAAAATCCCCAATGAGTATGTACAATATGAATATAATCTATATACAAGAAACTAAACAAAATAATGTTAGTAATAACCCCCCCACAGCCCTTAAATGTGGCAGAAACATCGTAATACCCCATTGTCTCTATGAAAAAAACTAAATAGTCCCCATATCTACAATTCTTTGTCTGTGGGGAAGGAAAAAAAAACAACAAATCAAAAAATCCCCCTTCAGCCCTTAAATGTGGCAGAAACATCAGTTAACTGGACGAAATCAATGCGGGTCTATAGAAAATATTAAAAAAAACATTCATCCATCCCTAGCACTCACACAGACACGCACTCATTCAGACACGACAACAAAAACGAAAAACACACAGGCGAAAAACGAAACCCGGACGAGGCTATACCGAAGGGTAGAGTCTCGTTCGGGGGTGATAGACAGATACCCGATCCTGCATATGCAGGGTCTACGGGCAATTTTTGCACGAGCCCACGGGCTCGGATTTCCCCACATTTAATTTGGCTTTGTGTCGTATCCTACCTAGTGGGGAGGCAGGTAAATATCGTAATATGCTGTCTAAGTAGTCCACCGCTAGCAGTGGATTACCTACTTCACGCCGCTGGCGAGTATTGTATTTTGTTGATGTTATAAAGATAACCATTTCATTTCCAACCTCCGTTTTGGTTATTCCTCATTCAGTAACCTTTTCTCGGTTACAATAACAATGTCACCAAATTCACGAACCAACGTGATAATAAACAATATTACAATTCTCTGTGGAATCAATAGCCTAGTGGATTAAAGTGTTGGTTTGTGAGTTTGGTGACATAGTAAGTGTGAGTTCAATCCCTGGGCCAGACAGTGTGCACATAGACTCAGTCGAAACAGGGAGAGCAATAACTCAGCAGTACTAATTATAATATTACTACAGTACTACTAATAATATTACTACAGTACTAGCAGTACTAATAATAAGTACAAGACACGATATCACGGGGATGAACAGTGGAACAAGAACAGTGTACCACCCGTAGAGCAAATAAGTGTTAAGTTCGGAATTCACTGTTGGTTACTCGAATCGACATATATCTGATGAAGGCCGGATACTACAACGGCCGAAACGCGGTGATAACAACAACAAAGATGAGGACAATAGCCCGCTTGTAAATAGTGTAAATAATCTAACCTATATATTTATATTTGCTAGATGATTTGAAGTCGTGCTTTTTGTCAAACTATTTCTTTAACTTGCTGCCTGAGAAGTTTTTAAACGGTATCACTCCATGCGAGACATTAAAGCCACTAAGACACAAAGGTTTACAGGATGTGGAAGAATTAGGAAGAGAGATGTTAATAATGAGCGGAAAGAATAAGAGTAGTTAGCGATTGACACTGCATTTAAGTTTTTACAGGTGAAATTTGGCTGGTAACCATGGAGCCGGGAGGAAGTTCTACAAGCGAGAAGTGCGAGAAAACAAACTGTTAGCATAAAATTTACGGATAAATCTAGTCAGCTCAATTGTAAATTAGTGAGACCTAGTGGCCAGTCTAGTACTGCACTTAAATTTATGATGTCTAGGTACCATAGAGAACAGCGGTATTGTGTCCTCTAATCTATTTGAAATTGAATAGTGGACTATCTCTGCATGCTTTCATAAACGAAGCAAAGTTTTAAGAGACGGAAAAATGTCATCTGAAACAAAGAGTTCTGAACTGCTATGAAATATCTAAATTCAGATATGACAGAGAATGCTGAAAACTTCCTCGGGCCTTACAGAAATTTAATAAAGTATTAAGAGTTAGAAAAATGTCCCCAGAAACAAATAAAAAAGTGTGGAACTTCTATGAAATATTTCCTTTTCGATACTGAATGCTTGGTAATCACCTCCTGACATTTGGAAATAAGCAAAGTTTTTAGAGACAGCAAAATGACGTCAGAAACAAAGGATTCTGAACTTCTATGAAATTACGCAAAGTATTAAGAGATTGGAAAATGTCGCGAGAAACAATATTTACTGAACTTCTATATAATATCTAAACTCGTACACAGAAATAATTACTGGACAATCTCTTCATAACTTTAATAAACTAAGCAACGTATTAAGAGATAGGAAAATGTCTTGAGAAAAAAATACTTGATATGTGATCAGCTGCGTTCTACCAAGTTATCAATGCTGAGAATCTCATGGACAAAGCATATGAGAAATGTGGAAGTTTTGAGAAAAACAGGAAATAACTAAAGTTCTACTCACGATCGGAAAGAGACAGCTGGAATTTCCAGAATACATAAAAAGAAATAAGACTTGGCAAATTTAACACTCAGAAGAGCTACTGAAAGCAAGAGAAGCAGCGCAGGGAAACGAGTAATCATCTTAACGGGTCTGAGTGAAGAGATGACAGAAGAGGAAGAAAGAATGATAGACGGCCAAATGCGGTTAAGAGCAAGAAAAGTCAGAAGGTGGAAAGTAAAGATCGCCCAAAGCTTGAATAGCTATAAACATAAAAAAAAAGTAAATACGTTGGTTGTCGGAGCCAAACAAAGCATTATACAAAGTCTTAGATCAAGTAGCTTATCAATAGAATTTTCAGTCATCCTAAAACGTACACTAAGGTAGTACAAATATCAACACAGATCTTAACATTATTTGGATCATCTGAAAATTTGAACTTACAGTGAAATTGGTAAAGAGTCGGCCTGGAAGAAGTGGTCGTAACCTATTTAAGGTCGCCATGTAACCTGGCGAATTGACTTTAATAAAATAGGACAGGTACGTGATACAAGACAGCTCATCAAGATCGGGGCTGGCCAAATCCTCTGGGTGGAGTACCATGGGTATTTTGAACAAACTGTGCGCCAGTAACATCCCCTGTTTGCAGTTCGCCAGTCTACAAAAAAAAAATAAATAAATAAATAAATAATAATATTTCACTCAATCAGTAAGAAATTTCGTGATTTTAAAAGTTTCTTTCAACGAAATCACTTGAGGAATTCAACAACTAAAATAGACGCCACTTATACATCGAACAGAAAATAATGACATAATCAACATGTTGACATACCACGCTACTTCGAACAAAAGGTAACATACAGTGAAAGACTAAACAAAGAATCCCATTTTAAGCCAAATTTGGCTAGTTCCCCAGTATTTAAGTATGCTGAAATGACATTTTTCTAATAAATATTTTTGAGTCAGAATTTCTGAGATGAGGAGTTATCATTATTTACATAATTTACATTCGAACTTTTGTCCTAATCATCATGTAAGGAGAGAAAAGCGATTATCTGATCGAGGTAAGACACGTGGGTCATTGAGGGCCGCTTAATGAGGTCACTTTATAGAGTGACGAAAACAGCAGTCAGTTTCAGTTGGTTTACAACAACCAAACCGATCTGTTGCTTTTTCAGCCCTGGCCAAGGTGACCGGGCCGAGGTTAAATCTGCCTCCTCCAGCAAATGCTACAGATGATAAACACATGGCAACGTTTCACTTTGGGAATATATCTTCCACAAATATAGAAAGAAACTTTGACCTTCAGTCCTTAATTTGGGAAAACCTAAGTGTTACCGTTTCCATTTCATAGAATATGTCCTTACCTGAGATATAGTAGATGAATCCAAACCTTTTGGATCTACAGCTCTAAACATGGCTTCTCCAAAACAGAAGAATCTCCATATTCTGTGTAAGACCCTATCTTTTCGGTCTCTTTACACTCTGCTTGCCGTATACAGGGGCCGACACTATTTTTCAGACACTTTATTTTTTCAAGTTTTATGTAGCACAGGCAGTCTGTACTGTTTTAGTGTAATGGAAATAACATTTAAAAACTGTTTCAATACTACAAATGGAAAAGCAGAATTCAAATTAGAAGTATTTTTATTTTTTTACAAATGTTCACATTACACAAGCGACAGTATTTTTCGGACATTGCAGAAACAATGCTAATAGTTTATGGCAGCACCCTTTTTTCAATGACTTCTATCAGTCTATCTTCATAATGTTCGTACATATTGATAATAACGTCTCTTCGTGTTTCTTGCAGTCTATTTTTAGCATCTTGTATGCGCTGCCACAGTTCAGCCTCTCTGGTTAATTCTGGCCTGTCGTAAACAAGCTCTGCAAGCATTTCCCATATGTTTTCAATTAAATTTAAGTCTGGACTTCTTGCAGGCCATTCCAGAGTAGTTATATTTGCTTCACACATCCAATTTTTCACTGATTTGGCCACATGGATGCTGCAGTTATCTTACTGCAAAATAAAATTACTTCCCATTTCTTTTTCTATGCGTGGTAGGGCTCTCTTTTCCAAAAGTTCTCTGTAGCTCAAGCTATTTTGACGTCCTTTTAACCACTCGAGCCACAAGTTTCCATTCGGAAATACCATACCCCAAACCATAACTCCTCCTCTTCCTATCTGTATCTTGTTGAGAATAACATGGTCACCTTTTCTCGACCATGTACACCACCCGTCAGTTCCATCGAACTTAAAACGTTTTTCATCAGTAAATATCGCTTTCTTGAAGTCGACATGGTTTGTAATCCATCTTTTGGCGCTTCCCCCTCTTTGTGTTTTCTCGTTAGTATAATTCTTTTCTTGATTTTAGCATACTTAAGTCCAATTTCGTGTAGCTTTCTTTGTACAGTTCGAACACTGACGTCAAGTTCACACTTCTTTACTTTCTTCGCTGTCACCTTTTCTCCAGATGATAACAACCTCGTAACACTCCTCTTCATTCTTCTTTCTGTTCTCTTGGAAATTGTTTTTTTTTTTTTTTTCGTCCTCTCTTCTTCTTCTTCTTCTTCTTCTTCCGCTCATAGTCTGTACTTAGCATGTATTCAAGTGTTGACTTCGGTAGCTTCATCTCAGCGAGGATCTTTCGGATGCTGTGCCCGTCTTCTCTCTTCTTTTGGACCAAACTGATGACTTTTGTTGAATGCATTCTTCTTCAGGATTTTAATACATTTTCGCAGTGAATGGAAAAGATACTCAAATGTAATGGTCAGAGTACAATTTACCTGCAGAAAATTTGCATATTGTAGACGTTCGACGACTAAATCATTAAAAAACCCGGAATTTGTGTCATGTCCAAAAAATAGTGTCACCTAAGTTGAAGTAAAAATAAAGAAAACATGAAACCAAAGACAAACCCATCAATCAATGTTCATACCATTAATGGACAGTTACTGCTGAACTATCTACTCGTCAACATAAAAGCTCTCGGCAGCAAAAAACATCTTTAAGCACACTTTTCAAAGTGTCCCAAAAATAGTGTCGGCCTCCTGAGATATATGTTATATTGCTCTCTACGTGGGGCACGTGTAAATGGGTATTTAGAGATTAGTGTATGTCTTAGTGGTATAAAAGTTTCTTTAAGAACAAAGCTAGTTTGTCATTCATTTTCCTTTCAGTTATTCTGTTGGGTCTGTGAAATATGGTGTTATTATAGTTTTGAACTGAACACTTTATTTAATCTATGGGATAGATTGTTCTCGTTATGTTTTCTATTTCCAGAGAAATCTTCTTTTCGTCTTATTTAGTGGTGCTCAGTAATTGTTCGGCCTGTTTTCCACAGTTAGAATCTCCACATTGTATTATATTTTTTCTAACAATAGCCAAATTTTACTCTTTATCCATGATACCCTGTACTCTCTCTAGTTCTCCTGGTCCAGAAGCAGCAAAATATCCCCTGAGCAGAATTCTCCCACCTCCGTGTTTATTTGTAGGTAGGGTATTTTTTGGTTTGTGTGTTTCATTCACTTTCCTCCATACATAACAGGAGTTCATGTAACCAAATAATTCTAGTTTGTTTGCACCTGACCATAAAGTAGAGTTCCAATAGTTATTCCGATGTTCTAGATGGCTTCTAGCATAAGCTCTTCTGCAGTTTGTTTATTTAGCCTTAAGCACATTTAAGATACTCTTTGAAAATCCTTATGAGCACGGCGACGTGGTGTAATGGTTATCCCACTAGATCAATTACGATTGACTAGTGTGTTCGACCCTTAGTGTCTACTCTACACTTTTGGCGTTGTGCTGCACCTACGCTTAAAAATCATTTTGGGCACTTCGACGTGGTGTAATGGTTAACAAGCTTGTCTCGCTAGATCAATTAGGATTGAGTAGTGAGTTCGATCTTCAGTGTTTACTCTACACTTTCGGCCTTGTGCTACATCTAAGCTACATTTAAAACATCATTTTGGGCACTTCAGCGTGATGTAATGGTTAACAAGCTTGTCTCGCTAGATAAATTACGACTGAGTAGTGAGTTCGATCCTCACTAGCTGCTCCAGACTTCCGCATAGAAAATTATTTCAACGTATAAAAATTGGTTATAAGGCACTTGATATAAATAAAAACATAATATACTTGCCAATATGCTGAAAACGTAAAGTGTATAGTATTAGTTAAATGTAAGGATGGGAAACAACTAGATGCACAAAATGTAACGTTATACGATTATACTCATTAAACGAAATGGGAGTTTTAAGAATGACTCTATCATATGGAAAAAGGTTGTCGCGTAAAAAAAAATAAAATTATTTTTTTATGTTTATCATAGCTTTAATTACATACAAAATCTATTCAAATGATATTTTAACTCTTTTAGATTTAAAGTTTAACCAGATACTCTCTGAAGGCTCAACGCGACAAAACTCGTTTGAAAATAATCTGAGAAGCACACGGAGATCGATGGAAAGGATAATGGTCTGTATCACGCTTAAGAGATAGAAATAGGCCAATATAAGAATTAGAAAAATAACAGAATAATTACCTCTTAAATCTTCTTACATGAAAAGAGCAATTTAATATTCAAAACCCACTCAAAATATTTCCATTTACTTCAATTTATTCTGATCAAATATTGATGACTTCAACTTGAAACAAATTAGTTGGTGATTGTCTCACGAAAGCAAACGTTAAACACTTAGAAGTATACGATGGAGGCTAAAATGATCTCGACAAGACGCATTTCTCAAAATCCTTATCTCAATGACCATTGAACATTGGTTTTGGGAAGCGGACCTAAACTAGAACATTTCAGAATTCACTCGTACTTCTAAAATCATTTAAGGCGGAAAAGAAATTATTTTATCCGTCATGTCCCTTCAGGATTGTCAACGATCACAACTCTCCACAACTTTTTAACCTTTCTAATTATAAGTAATATTTTTCTCCTCTCAGGAATTTGGAATTCACAAGCGGCCCCCAACCCGCATGTATAGCACATGAGATTTTATTATAGTGGTGATGGTTTCGTGTAGGACCATCCATACTTTTTGAAGTTTTACGTGCCACAAGGTCCCCAAACGACCCTCCGCAGAATTTGAATTCCTAGACCAGTTGCTATCCAAGGCTATAGAAACCAGTCTGTCCTGCAATTTACCCATAGCTGGATTCACACCTTTCCCAAGGGTATTAGCACGTAAGTGAATATAATGGATTCGACTGGAATTCGAACTCGGCTCTCCGATTCCTCAATCCAAGCCGCTATCCATTACTCCACCTCTGATCTATGCAAACATGCTCGTTAGCTAAGGTACTTGCACCATCCGTCTACCCGTCTTACTTTCAGTATGGTTTGTGAGTGTCGAATTTCCCTAGCCCTCTTTCCTCATTATGTCTCTCAGAAATTACAATTGTATCTTTCTGATTCTAAGTGTAAGTGTCTTTTTAATCTTCCATAAAAGATCCAAAAATAAATTAGTAACTGTTGTAAACCGTACTTATGAATCTATGTCCTAATTCTAATAAATACATTAGATATTATTGTAAGCAGGGGCAATATACTATCTAAGTAGTCTACCACTAGAAGTGGTTTACCTACTTCATGCTGCTGGCGAGTATTGTATTTTGTTGATGTTATAAAGATTACCATTTCCATTTTCCGCCTCCGTTTTGGTATTTCCATATACAATAACACTTTCTAGATTACAAGAGTAACATTTCATCACCCCTGAGCAGAACTTAAATCTGCCCCAGTCCTAATGAGTGAACACGCCCTCAAATACGCTCCTTGTCTCGAATGTCTACTAGGTGTAAAGATCCTTCATGATCTCAAATACAACGTGTATGTCCATGCCATCACAAAAGATGCTGGAATAATCATCGATTCATTGTATGGCTCCAGAAAATGCCTAACTCCTGATGCAATGACCTATCTTTTCAAGAGATCAGTAATGGCGTATTGCTGCTACATCGGCAGCCCAATCTTCACAGTCTAACCTCAACAGAGTTCAAAAGCGTTTATGCGGCTTTTTGGTGATTAATTATTCTCAACCCTTAAACCCTTATCCAACCTTTCACTGCTCTATCGCTATTACTATGTCATATGTTCGGACGAGTTATATACCTTAGTTCCACAAACTCAGACCTTCACAACTAAGACCCACTATGTCATTACCACAGTGGCAAACCATCTCCATTCTCTTCGTATCCCTTTTATAATAATCTCACTAAGTAATCCTTTACTATGAGTGACCCATGGTCTTTGCATTGGGCGGATTGGGAGTAAAAAAAAAACTGTCTATATCTCTGAGATGATGTATTGTGATTACTTGCATTATTTACATTACTCGGACTGTTAGCCTCATCTTCATTACCATAAGTGGTGAACAAAAAATAACTGAGACATCCAGAAGAGGCATGACATGTGGAACTAGAACAATGTCTCCCGATGTCAAGATAAAGGGTTAGGTTCGAAATTGCAATCACTTGAAGAAGGCCGGAGCGTACAACGACCGAAACGTTGTGAATATGGCAATGAAGATGGGGATAATAATCCGAGTAATGTAAATAATGCAAGTAATCTCTGATCACATGTTCAGTTTATGATATTCTATTCACTTGCCTTGTCTCTACTTTATCTGAGAAAAAAATGCCCCGCCGTCACTCTCCTATATGAAGATTGATATTATATAGTAGTTCATCACGTTTTTCCTTGTATTATCCGTCTCTAAATATGTTTAGCTTTTAGAATGCATTTTTCACTATTAAAATGCGCCATCGGATGTAAGGTAGGAAAAACATTTTTAAAAGAGTTAAATTAAACGGAAAACAGCGGCAAAAAAGAGAGAGATGACTTACTTGTTATGAGGGTTTAATGTTCTCCAATGCGTACAACTGCCAGGTTCACAAAAGTCGATTAAGGCACTAGATTGTTTTAATTAAAGAAATAAGACACAAATAAGACAAGTTATTAATCATTTATCACAGAATCTCCAAAAGCAATTATACACGTAAACACACACACACACACAAACACACGTGCGTACACACACACACTCTATATATATATATATATATATATATATATATATATATATATATATACATATATATATATAGTTTATGAAAAATTAGGTAATCCGTATGGGTAAACCTAAGGAGGATAAAATCCAGAGAGCTCAATGTAAATTCAGAGCAAATAATTTAAATAAAAACAGACCACTTTAAGGTTCCATGTAATAAATTATTTCACCACAGCCCTTTTAAAAGGACTTTACTTCCAAACAAAAAATGAAAAAGAAAATTTACACATTTTTGACGGGCCGTATTAAACATGTTTAAATTTTCTTTTCATTTTTTGTTTGGAAGTCTGATGATCCGCAGTCCTTTTAAAAGGGCTGTGGTGAAATAATTTATTACATGGAACCTGAAAGTGGTCTGTTTTTTATTTAATATATATATATATATATATATATATATATATATATATATATATATATATATATATATATATACCCACCTAGATCACCAGATTTGGAACCTTTGGATTTCTTTTTTGTGGTGGTTTCTAAAAGACAGAATTTACAGCAGGAAACCTGAAACAATTGCTGAAATGCGAGTAGCAATTAAAGAGGAATGTGCTCAAATACCAGAGGAAATGATACTGGACGTTTGTAGGTCGATTTCTTCAAGATATGAAAAGTGTATTGAACAGAACGGCAATCAGTTTGAGCACTTGATGTGAACTAATTCTGCCATTGCCCCAAGTAGCTTTTATCTCATTAAAGTTTATTTTCTGTTTTTTTTCTTTTCTTTTTTTTGTATATTTTACTCTCAAATTCTTTAAATGTGTATTGTTTCTTTTGTATTAATCTTATTTATAAGTCAAACTACATAAATTGAATAAGTTATAACGATTCAAAGAGTGTATACATTATTTTGAGACACCCTGTGTATATATATATATATATATATATATATATATATATATATATATATATATATATATATGTAGTGGCCTGTTTAGGGGGTCGGAAAGACGGAAAGAAAGACACGGAAAGACGAAAGTAGGCTAAACAAGTGTATTAAAATAATAGATATATACAAAGTAAGAGTATTAGTAATAAGCAGGTAGAAGTGTCCGTCTGAATGGTCAGGTTACACTGCGTCTCGGCTTCCCACCCACAGCAAGTCTTGCAGGTTAGTATTTATGAAGGATGAAGAGTTCATCCTACTGTAGGTGGGTTACTACAACAATATATATTGGCCCTGTTTTTAAGAACTCTGGAGACCCTTCTGACCCATCTAACTACCGTTCTATGAGTCTCCTACCACTTTTCTCAAAGTCTTCGAGGTTTTAATCAATGCCGAAGTAGTTAAGCACCTTACTTCCCATGATCTTCTCTCTAACAAACAATATGGTTTCGGCTTTGCCCGGTTTAACGCTAACGTGCTTACGGCCATATCTGAATTTGTATTCTAAGCTTTTGATGAAAACGGCGAAACTCGAGCCGTGGCTCTAGACATCTCTAAGGCGTTTGATAGGTTTTGGTATTGCCGACCTTCGTGAGCTTCAGGGATACGGTATTACAGGACAATTATTTGATTTAATCCAATTATTCCTGTTAAAAAGTGAAATGAAGGTCGTCCTAAATGGGTTCTCCTCCAGTTCCTTTCATAAGAACGCTGGTATTCTCCAAGGCTCTATCCTAGGTCCTACAGTGTTTCTGATCTTCATCGACGATCTTCCTGATGTCAGCAGTTCTCAAGTAGGCATCTATGCAAATGATACTACCATTTACACCTGTCTCGTTAGTAAATCTGGCATTGCTAGAAAAGTTAACCTTGCCGTTGATCTTGGTTAACGGGGACAGGGAATGGCTTAGAAACTTTAATGCCTATAACATGAAACTCCTCTCATTTACCCACCATAGAGAAACCTTCCAGCTTCCTATCAGAATGGCTGCTTCTCAACTCCATGAGAGCGTTTCTCGGTCTCACATTTTCCACTGACCTGAGCTGGAACAACTACATTGAATCAATAGCTGCATCTACTGCAAGGAAAGTTGGTTCTCTGTGTCGAAGTTCATCCTTCAAATCTACAAATCTACCATTCGACCTTGCATTGAATAATGTTGCCATATATGGTCTGGTGCCCCCGCTGTTCATCTTAAGGTTCGAGACAAAATCCAAAGATGGATATGCAATGTGACTAGTCCTGATGTGGCATCACGACTTCAGTCACTTTCTCACAGATCTGATGTGGCTTCCCTCTGTCTTTTCTACAAATATTTTCATGGCAACTGCTCTGACGAATTATTTTCACTAGTGCCCCAACTGCATTAATGTAAGCGTGCTACTAGGTTGGCATCTCGGTCCCACAATGTTACTGTCGAAACAGTTAAATGTAACCGCCTCTTCTACTCTAACAATTTCTTCTTTCGCACCTCCCATCAGTGGAACTCCCTTCCCCTTACTTGCTTCCCTGACAACTATAATCTTCAAAAATGTCAATCGACATCTTCTGATGCCTTGATCTTGATCCCTGTCCTTCTCTTTATCCTTTCTTCAAACACCCTCTCTTTATTCTTACTTTCACTCTCTGTAACCCCTTTCGTGCTAGTGGCACCCCGCCTTGTTTGCGGTGAAATGCTTAAAAAGAGTATATAGTCATGGACAGTTTAAGGGTCTCGTGCTGCCCCGAATTTATGATATGCGACCCCCCCCACACACACACACTCACACTCTACTACATCTCAATTTTCATGAGTTAGTATGCGTATAAAATACAAATTTTATTTTGAACTAATTATGTCAAATCATGGATTATATGCAATACAGGTGAGAAATTCAACTAGGAGAATTGAAAATAAATACATTGTATCTAAATACAAATTAAATATATGTCATAATAGATAATTCCATCTTAAATAAATCAACTCTGTTTTGCGGGAACTTTTTAACATCAACTTGGGATTTTTATTGTTAAAAAGCTAAAGAATTTTAACACATTCAACATTATAGATATAAAGAATAGTGAATTTTATATTGTGTTTTTAGACTTAACATAAGCGAAACAGATTTGCACGAAAAAAAAAGAAAGACGTTAAAATACACGAAACATTTTCATACTTTAATAGTCAGTGGGGCTTAGTTTAATTTGTAACGTACATAAATACACACACACACGCACACACACACACACACATATATATATATATATATATATTGATGCATGTTTCAGTAAATAATGTAGACAAGTGTTGTCTATTTATTTTATGTAAATTCTTTTCATATCGTCTGATAAGCTTAATAACATTATCATTAAACGAAGAAAGAAAATCACAATATTGATACATATTTTTTAATCCTATCTAAGCTTTCGGCTTAAATAAGCCATTATCAAAGATGACAATTACAGTACAATATATTAAACAATACACGAGCAAAACAATAATGATAGTCTCTTTTTGTTTACATGGAAGATTTACAAGCAACTACAAACTCGTGCATAGAAAACGCTGGAATCGAAAATCGCATCGCACCTTATGATGTCACACATGACCACGCGAGAGTGAAAACGAAAAGTATTATGTATGGGAAGCCGTTGGTATAAACCAATGGCTTCTGTTACCAATTATATGCATTTAAGAATATTTGTAGAGATTTCATAGTTTATTTTGTTCAGGTTAGGTTTCAACAGTTTTATGTATATAGCTTCAAGAATATTTAGTTTTTGTTTATTGTTTTCGTGTTTAAGTATAACTGTGTTTTCAACAACAATTTTCCGGAATTCTGTACGCGGCCAGGCGTGTTGTTTTAAATGCCTAAAAATGTTAGAGTTATCATTCAAATGTAGAGTCAAGCGTCGTGAAAGCGAGTTTGTTGTATGCCCAACATAAATATTATTTAATCCGTTGGAGATATAATCTCCCAAAGGGCACTTGAATTTGTAAACTATGTTGTTTTTTTTTTTTGTTTTTTTAAATCGCTAACCGGGAGAGGTGAATCATTGGGAATAATTGAGTTGCATATACTAGATTTAGTGTAGTATATAATTAACTTAATTTTTTTGCTAGGATCTGTTGTAGATATATTAGTATTTATTAATTTTTAGTATATTTTCATCTTGTTTATAATTAGTATGCATTTGATTACGATAAAAGAGATTAATATGTTTGAGATTAGTTGAAGCAGTATTATATTCTATTTGCTTAGTATTAAGACTTCTAAAAAAGTATTTTATTTGTTCATCAACTATATCGTTTGGAAAGCTATTATTAATAAGTGTTTGTTTTATATTCTTTAGTTCACTGTCATCTTTGATAATGGCTTATGTAGGCCGAAAGCTTAGATAGGATTAAAAATATGTATCAATATTGTGATTTTCTTTCTTCTTTTAACGATAATTTTATTAAGCTTATCAGACGATATGAAAAGAATTTACATAAAATAAAAAGACAAAACTTGTCTATATTATTCAATGAAATATACATCAATGAAAAATGCTGCCTAAATACACACACAATATATATATATATATATATATATATATATATATATATATATATATATATATATATATCTGTATCTGTAGAAAGAAACAAATGTTGATAAAATAATGAGGCCCCCAGTCATGCCTGGGTCCCACCCCAAGTTATCTCTCCGACCATATTTATTTTTGTATTTAAAACGTGTTTTAAAGGTCTTTTTTTTTTCATTTTTAAAAGATTAAAATGTTATTTTATATATTATTCGACCTCACTTGATATCATACAGCCTATGACTCCATGTTGCAGTCAGTTGTGAACTTCATGACCTTTTCAACAACACGAGGGATCCTCTCGGGTGATTAATAGAGAAAACTTTTGTTTGGTAGGCGTTAAAATTACGGCAGGGTACATTTCATCATTACCGAGTAAATAACGCCGATTCACCACCAGTCAACTGGTGTTGGCTGTCATAGTGTACACATCTTTTAGAGCTGCTTTATGTCGTAGAGATTGTAAAAGTTTAGCTGTTTAACTTAGTGATTTATGTGTTACACCTGCCTATTTGTCTGACCAATGTTTAATTTTCAAATTTTCATCACACTGAAAATGGGAATTCTTAATCAAAGTGGAAAAAAAAAATTGAAAAAATATATGAAATATATGAAAGCAGAGTCGTCCTGGGTATGACGATAAAGTACATCCACTTCCTGGGTAAGACGATAAACTACATCAAACAGCAAGGGAGGTTTTGAGGAGCGTGGAACCACCTCTTAATTGCTGGTGTTACCAGGTCTACCCTGACCTGGGGTGGTAGCACCTGTTAGGGTCCCTGCTATGGGCAAATAGTTAACGCCGAAACTGACGTAAAAAGCGTTATAAAAATGGGTTTTGATACCAGAGATACTTTGTAAATGAATTATTACCAGAAATAAATTTTTGAAGAAAAAAACTATTACCAGCAATATATTTTTGAAAAAATATTACCAGCAGTACGTTTTTGAAAAAAAAATATTACCAGCAATACATGTTTTACAATAATATTACCAGCTATACATTTTTGAGGAAAAAATAATACCAGAAATAGATTTTTGACAAAACAAAATATTACCAGGAAAAAAAAGTTGTCGGCATTAAATAACCCATTAAGGTGTTGATATGCCGTAAAACACAACAAATCAAATCAACAGAGAGCGGATGAAAGAATTTTGCAAATTGCATCTTCTTTTTCACAACGATATCTGTCTGAATATTTGAGGTGGATTGCATACAATTTTTAAATATTTTTTTAAAATTAAAAGTAAAGTCATGTATTAAAAGATCATTTTGATCGTTAATAAATTACTTTTATCCGGTTTAAAAAGTTACGTTTTAAAAATGTTCCTTTATAAATTACTTTTATTTGTTTTTAAAAAGTCAACGATAAATTTCATATTTTGCATGTCGTTGAGTTGGCGGCGTTGAAGCTGGCAGTGATGAGTCGTCATGCAACCAGAATATTAACACGCCATTCCTTGCACCCCTTAACAACAAATTAAAGGTCATTTTTTAAATCAATTGCCCATTTGATATTTTTTTAAAATGATTGTGAGTATTCCAGATAATCTTTAATTTTAAAATTCACGAAAGTGAAGTTAATAATTAACTCTGATGTTTTTCCATCTTTCTGCATTTCGTTTCACTTGTTTCATTCTTTTGTTTTTGCTTTTCAAATATTCTAAAATTATGTTCCAGTCTAGGAATGTATTGATTGTCTAGAGCAGCATTTCTCAACCTTTTTTACCCTTGCCTAACCCTTAAAATAAATTACATGTCTCAAGGAACCCCTACGCAAAAACAAAATTATATACCATATATTTCTCATTTTATTTTCATCGTAGTTCACGTGGTAAATATCATAGTATATATTTTTGAGTAACTAGTTTAAGGAAAAATTAATACTTCTTTGTCAATTTTTTCGGCAATGCTAAATAAAATTCATACTGTTCGTTTATAATACTTCATCAGGGAGTTTTCATTCACACAAAAAAATTCTTAACTCAAACGTAAGAAACAAAAACATAAGTAACCAATATTATATACCTATAATATAAATGTAAACAGAACGAAAATAGATAATTGCTGCATCAGTTTTTATAGATATTTCTGTAAGAAATAAAGTAAAAACAAACAAATAACTTTAACTACAGGTTCCATTCGCTGAGTGGTTTCACAATGGCGTCGTATAGACATCACTGAATATATTTCCAGCGATTGTTATATTTTTTTAATAATAGGTTAGGTAGGATGATGTCTATATTACAATAACCAAGAATATATTGTGTGTGTTTAGTAATATTACGCAGATTAAATTAAATAAAAGGTCAAAAGTACATTAGCTTATCTCACCCGTTCTCGCGGAACCCTTGGGGACCTTTTGCAGAAAGTTAGTGTTCCTGGGAACCCCGGTTGAGAAACGCTGGTCTAAAGAAACACATCATAATCCCTTTTTTATTACTAGAAAATTACAATGAAGATGTCTCATAAATACATTAATTCCTATGCAGGAAAGAGGAGGAAAAGAAATAGTGGATACAGGGATACGGCCAACTTTGAACTTTAAAAATTTAAATGCAATGTCAATCGCTATTTACTGTCTTCCCGATTACGCTTTTATTCTTCCTGCTCCGGCATAACGTTTCCTGTTTTCAAATTCTTTCACTCCCAGTAACTCCCTTCTGTCTTAGTGGCTTTACTGCCTTGCTTGGGGTGAATTTTGATTAAAAAGAAAATAAAAGAGAATTTACAGAAAGTTGTAAGAAAAATACAAACAGAAATAGTAAAAGAAAATGAAAAGTAGATTTTTACTTACAACAGAGCCAATCCGTTATTCCAATCTGTCGTTAGGTTAGAAATATTCAACTCTGGAATGACTGCTCTTAGCCAGGCGATAATCCATTCCTTCTGTCGCATCCTGAGCAGTCCGATTTGGTAACGGACAATCAATTGCCACAGTAATGCGAGGATTAACTTCATGTTGCCCTCAATTATATCCGTACTGTCTAGTTAAAAGAGCCAAGAAAAGACAAATCAATGAAATATTAAAGTGGCAGAGACTTAAAAAAAATAACGATTTATAAACATTTTATTACAGAGATTCACCTAACGTTTTCTATACTTAAAAAAACGCTAATTTTTTGCGCCTCTAAAACACGTAATGTACATAATATTTATATACGTAGGTTATATATGTCCCAAAGGTTTCCAGAGCAGGGAATGATACAAGGGACAAATTCCCACTGTCTATTTAATGCTTCTGTGGTATGCGTCTCAAATAGCCTTTGACAACTAAGTCCAGCTCCAAGCCGGAGAATGGGCGAAGGCGGACAACTGGCGCCTCATAACCAGCTGTTTTGGGTAGATGAAGCTCGAGAACTCAGGAAGGCAGTCCACCTAGAGGAAGGAAAATGCCGATTTTGATCCTCCACTTGCCTTGCGGTCATATCCAAGACACGGGAAAAGTTATGTAGGTACATCCAGACAGAAAACCCGGAATAAATCCCCGAAAGCGATTGTCTGTCAACATTAACAATTTTCCGGCAACTCCTGCAGCCAAGCCGTTCCCAAATGCAAAGACTTGTATTCCTTTGTATCTAATCCGTACGACCGAGATGGGAGTCATGTCGTCTCGGCAGCGCAGAGCCTCCATATACCAACGCCCGGGCCTACGCTCTGGAAAGGTCACCCAAGTTTCACGTCCTGAATTTGTGCCAAAGGGGACGTTGCCTTTATCACGCGAGATAAACGAAGGCCTAATATTTCAGAGAAAAACATTGTTTCCATTGTTCCAGCGGATTTCAACTTCACTGATCAATAAAAGAACATGAACTCTAGTGAATATCGGAATGGATTGCATGTATATTTCTTATGTGATGTTAGGTGTGTTTTGCACCCCATGGCCAAAGTATGCAATTAGCATTCTTAGATGATTTTCACTTGAGTTTTGTTATTTAACAGTAAATAAACTAATAGATAACGCAAATCATGTTTGATTTAATAGCTGTAAATGATAATTTAATATTGCCGATATATTCAGGAGGGGACATTTCATCAAGGCTAACTCAACACAGCCGACTCAACACAGCCGACTCATCTCCATGGCAACTCACCACCAGAACTACTCAACGCGACGACAACTCAACGCTGGCATCGAATTCATACATCACGGGTGTTTAATTATCAAACTTTTCATCACACCAACTAAATTGCCAATCTGCAACTGAATATTTGAGGGAAATTGCGTAAGATTTTCAATAAATATTTAAATAAAAATAAAGTCTTCAAAAATTATGATTAATAAATTACTTTTTTTTCCGTTTTAAAAACTTATATCTTAAAAATGAACCTTAATAAATTACTTTCATTTGTTTCTAAAATGTCGACGAAAATATGTCACAGACTGTTTTTAAATTGATCCTTAATAAATTACTTTTATTCTGTTTTAAAAATTCAAAGAAAGAATTTCGTAGTCTATATGTCGTTAAGTTGCCCTCGAGTTAAGTAGGCTGATGGTGAGTTGTTCAGTGTTGAGTTGGCGGTGTTGAGTCAGTGGTGTTGAGTCGGCGGAGATGAGTCGTCCTGTACTCAGTATGTCTAATGGGTTGCCTTTACATAAGTTATATATCAGACTCTTTCTATTTTTTCTAACTATTCATTTATCTGCGTTTCTCTATCTCTCAATCATTTAAATTGTGGGATCTAGATATCCCAACAATTTCAGAAATTAACTTACCCATCCCTCTGGCATCGACAGTCACAATCATAACAATAATTCGCGTCGATAATTGCCGTAAGCATCTCATCCGGTGTTCGCAATTGATACATGTCTGGGCATTTCAATGACATCAAAATCAAAGTACGGTGGTGCCACCTACCATTATCTTTATATATCTCGAGATGTTACACAAAAAGTAAGATACAACAATTAATAATACTACATGTTTATTTCTTTCAAGACGTAAGCAATCGGGGCACTGCACGGATTATTTTTTATTATAAGTGAATCGTCATGGGTTCATGCCTTCGTGGGAAATATAGTAAAAATGGATACCCGTTGTCTTCACTGTGGTTTAGAATTCAATGCTGACCTAGTCAGGTTACCACCCAAGCCTAGAAGCCCAGTCTACCCTACTACTTAACTCGTAACTGTGGATTCAGGAAAGGATTCATGCCTTTGTGCAATTGAAAGCAAAAGACTGCCAGAATTTGAACAAAGCTTGTCAATTCCACTTCCCACACCGTTGACTGTTACACCACCTGCACATCCTTCTCTTTGATTGGTTACCATAAGAGTTATAAGGTCCAGTCTGTCCTGCTATTTACCCATAAAAGAGGTGAATTCATACGTTTCTCAGCGGTATTTGCGCGTAAGTGAATATAACGAGAATTCGAACTCGGTTCTCCAATTCATCATTCCAAGCCTCTATCCATTACCCCACAGAGCATCCACTCAGTGCACGAACCCATCGGTATACGAGCGCGAAAAACAGCCACATCTGGAACCAACCTTGCACCTCTCCAACAACAGCGTCATATGTACGGTACTGATTCCTAGATAAATGTCGTTTGAAGGGTTCAAATATATGATTGTCTTAAGAAACCATCCCAAGATTTTATGGCTTATGTGATAAAACCTCCCAACCATATTGTTAGATTCACTCTTTTCAGACGCGATGTATATTTTGTGTGCTTTCTTGTACAATAGGATTACACGAACTTCCTGATATCTTTCGACGAACAGCTTCTACCAGTCTGACCAATGTTACACAGTATCTGATGATGTTAGATGCTTGACAATCTATATAATAAATGTGAATGTCAGTGTGTCACTGTGTCACATTTTTCAACTTTACTCCTAGACGTCGTAGCCGAACATATCATACCATTTTCGAATCAAGCCGACTCCGTGAGCAAATTAAAAATATTCTAGGCTGGATCCGGACCCGCAATCCCGAAATTTTAGATTCCCAACTTTTCATTACTGCGATTGTTTTCAGATTCCGCTATCTTACTTTCGACTGATGAAAACAATTAAAGGGACACAACTCTCTAACTTTCAATAGCTGATGTTCAAATGAAAAAAATAGCTGTTCTCAAATTACAGTGTTTCAAAATAAAATTGTCCGTATTTTCAACTTTACTCCTAGAGGCCGTAGCTCAACATATCACACCATTTTGGAATCAGGTCAACCCCATTAGCAAATTAAAAACAATTCGGGCTGGATCCAGACCCGCAACCCTGAATTTTTTTTTATTCCAAAGTTTTCATTACTGCGAATATTTTCGGCAATTTTTTGTGACGAAATTTTTTGTAAGATAACATTTTTATAACTTTGAAATAATTTAGAAATAATCGAAATTAACTGCGACATCTAACGAAAGTCACCCAGCAAATAAAAAAAAATTGTTTTTTACGGAAAGTAAGGACCTACGTACTTCAAATTGTCTTTAAATTAAGTGGTGACAGAAGAATTATCGTTGAACTTTTGAAAGGTAAATTTAGGTATTAATACAACACTTAAATGAATCGATCAGTTTTGAGTTCTGTAGTTTATTGTTACCTATCGTATCTACTCTTCCCTATATATTGTAATTAAGGCCCAATCAAGAATTCCGCAGGAGCTAGCTTAAATGCCGCTCGATAGGGCAGCTTTTAAGTATCCCACTCTTTCTTTGTCTTCTTTATATGTTGCGTCCCTTCACGACGTAGGCGATCATAGCTCTTCACAATTTCCTGTCCTTGTAGCTCACATATTTGATCCTTGGTATCCTCAGCCTACTGTTGCTTCAATTCTCGTTGAAGAGCTTGTCCAACATTCACATTAGCATATAGAAAGGTAGATATCACTTAACAGTAACTCTTTTCTTTCTTTCTAACGAAGTTTTTTTTTTCTGTTTCGTAATATTCCACTTAGCTTTTTAAATACATCAATGCCCCTTCAAATTTCAGTGTCGCATTTTCCGTCCTCCGTTAAAACACTTCCCAGATATTTAAATTTTTGTAATTGTTTGATTTTGGTATCTTCGATTTGTAATTTGCATTTTTGGCTCAACCTTTTGTTAACAACCATGCATTCTGTCTTCTTGCAGTTGATTTAATCTTTACCTTTCGCTTTCCTTCACTATCTTTTTCGTTTTTTTATTTTAGTTTTTTTTTTCTAATTTACTTTCTGTGTCTGCTATCAACACGATGTTATCTGCATCACAATGTTTTAATTCTTAATTATATCTCGTATATATATATATATATATATATATATTGAACTCTCCCATCGTTTTACGACGTAAGAGGGCATGTCAGCCAGATACCTGCACCTATGATTTGATTATAGTGGTGAAGGCTTTGTGCACTTTTTGAAGAGCCAAATACAGAGAACTAGTGCACAAAAGAGTTCAGTATATATATATATATATATATATATATATATATATATATATATATATGTAAGCAAATATATGGATATAAATCCGACAGTATGAAAAAAAATATACGGAAAAACAAACAAAATTCTTATATACAATAAAGATAACGGAGCGCTGATCTTATAAAACTTTCAGTTATCTGTTTGGATAAGTCTTGTTCTTATGTACATCGTCTTTGTCATGTTGTATTGATAATGTTATAATTTATGAATATGTCCTGAAGATGGCTTATTAGACCGAAACGTCTGACGTTGACATATTAACATTAAAACAGCATAATTGTATATAAGGATTTTTGTTTGTTTTTTTCCGTATATATTTTTCTTCATATATATATATATATATGAGATATGCTCGGAACTTTAGTTAAAATAGGCATTTCTATTGAATTCAGAGTTGTCCTTCCATAGAACCCAGTCTGTCTGTCTGTCTATTTTACCGAGGAGAAGAGGTTTCATATACGTAAGTGAATGTAATGGATTCGACTGGAATTCGAACTCGGCTCTCCGATTCCTCAGTCCGACCCGCTATCCACTACTCAACCGTGTCTCCTT